ATTTGATTGTCCATTGGTTGGGATGTGCCCATCACCTGTTTGAGTACAAATTTATTTGTACTCAAAAAATTGAATTTCTTTATTCTTCAGAGATACTGTGTTTGTGCCATACGTAAATATATGAAGATGAAGTACATACCTAAAAACAACGAATCTAATTTCCATACCCTGTCAAGGGTATATATGAAACAACAACCAGCAGGCCACGAGGAACGCTTCCTTGAGGGAAGCAAAGGCTGCACTAGAGAAAGCTCCGGATTCAGGAGCCACTTCTAAAAGCACTATCACAGAGATTGGTGTTACAGGTTCAGAATGCAACTTAATTGCATAAAGCAAAAACATTTGACAAAACAAAAAAAATGAGCAGAGAATGTAATCCATGCTCAGGGCACAGCTATCCAGTCAGACCTTCAGATTAAGGGTGCGCAATTTTGTGATACCAAGCAGGCTTAATTAAGCATAAGCTAGAAAACAGACTGTTCAGTCAAGGCAAGAGTCATATTTAGTGAAGAATCCAAGAAAATTTCCTGAGTCAAAATTATGGCTTTTCGGAAGTATAAGAATTCAGGCAGAAGGACACTTCCGAGAGCTGAGTATCAGATACTACCAAAGGTTCAGTTCTACCAAAGCTTACCTCAAAGATGTGAATCTTTGGTGGACTCAGAGCCTGATGACTAGCACCGTCAGGCCATCCAGAAACGCCATTGCAATAAGAACACTAGAAAAGCCTCAGTTTCTCCTCTTATGTGATGACACCAGTGTTCCTGTGCTAGACCTCCCACAGGGTGGCAGTTCTGCTGTATCACATTGTTTAAACTTTGTCGACCAAGAAGGGCAGTTAGTTTCAGACTTAGAAGCTGCACACTGACGTATGTTTTAAGAAGGAACTTGTGTTTTTAAAACTGTCAATGAAATGCATTAGAAAGCATTTCTAATTACACACTTCTACCATAGCAGTTGCTGTTTCTTCAGCTGTTTATGTAAGAGTTTTAATGATTTCGAAATCAACATATAATCTAGAAATAATTATTCCCATATGTGTTTTGTCCTTTCTACCATAATATTTTTCGTGTGTTCCTTTGGTTTCAAAGGAATCAAGGCCTCCGTGATCATGCTGTGGGCATGCGTAGGATATCTGCTTGTGTCTCTGCTATCCCAAAAAAAGTCTGAAGTCATTATCTGACTGACTAAAGACATAAGCTTATTACAAGTTTATTGAACACCAGCTACCAAGCACAGTGGAAACTGAGGGGAAAATAGCACCATAAAAGCAAATCTCCAATGATATGAAATCCTTATACAAGAGCAATATTTTTAGTAACATTAACGGTGGAAAAAACTTCCATTAGATTTCAGATGTTATCATCAAAAAAAGTCTAACAAAAAAACATAAACCCAAAGGGAAGTAGATTTTACCGGTCCCCCGCTTCCCTAAATAATTGTTTATGTCGATGCTGAATAACTTCCTTGCTTTTCTTTACTTCTCTTGGCTTCAGTATCACCAGTGTTAAGGAGAGAAAATGCCACTGGTATCCACTGGAAAGGCATTTGGTATTAAACAAGCATTAAACAACAACTGTGTCAGATACGAAAAAAGACTATAGTGGAAGACAGACAGACAGACAGATAGATAGATGGATAGATAGATTCTAGACCAAGAACCGCTGTATCCTTTCCTTGTAGGATTCACCATAGTCCATCATGCATTTAAGTTTTCACTGAAAACACTCTTCCATTAACATGGTCCAGTTTTGGACTTTAATGTGGGAATCCGTCTAAGAGAATATATTAAGACCTAAGAATAATGAACATACTACATCTGAAACACCAATGCAAACTACTATGGTGTACAAGATTTAAGTTTTTACTTTGGAGACTTACAGAAATTCCTAAAGAACAGCAAGGTTCTTCTCAAAGTGGATCTAGCAATTCATAGTAATAAGATGTTAAAAACCCTTATAAATCCATGGCCATAGGAATGATTTTTCTAGTGCAAGTTAAAAAATCAGATGCTTTTCTTGACGTATCTATCAAAGAACCTTACTGCTTCAAAGTTATCTCAACTCCATTGGGCTGATTTATAAAAATCATCAGACACCTAGATCAGTTTTCTTTTCCTCTCTAAGAACATCATAGGCATGTAAGCATTGTGAGTCAAACCCTGGGACGCAGCTTGCGTGTAATTAATCAGTGTGACTTAAGCAGGGTCAACATCTGGCTGTTTTTAATTTAAAATGCTTTATGGGAGAGAGAGGAGTTGACAGCTGATTTTTTCATGTCAGATTTGCAAGCCTGCAACTAGCTAGCACCTGTAAACAACCCTTCCTCTTTCCCATCCCATTCATCATTTAGTGTGAGTAGAGGTGGTAAGGATTTTTTGATTTGAAGATTTTCATGAGAAATTAGTGGTTTGTCAAAAAAACCAGCTTTATTCATTGAAATGAGTTGGTTTTGATGAACTCCCAGTGAAACCCTGCAGAGATGATGGAGGTAGATGACTTCCAGGCTGTGTACTAGTCCTAAGAAGGAAACCACCTCAAAGTCAAAGGACATCTAGTTTTCCTAGGTCCACAAATCCAAAGCCGCCCTTCCACATACAAATGTGGATTCAAAACAACTGCTCAAGGATTTTGCTCGTTTTCCTTCTTCCAAATTTCTTTTTTGTAGAAAATTTCAAAATTTCTACTTTTCCTTCTGGAATGGAATTTAGAAGCTTGGCGGATTGGGTGCAACAGAAGTGGTGTGCCAACCAGCTCAACTTTCGGTAGTTTCAAGGTTGAGCACTGAGCGTTTGGTTTACTTAGAATCATAGAATTGTAGAATTGCTGAGGTTGGAAGGGACCTTTAAGATCATCAAGTCCAACCATTAACCTACCCCGACAAAACCACCTCTAAAGCATGTCCTTAAGCACCACATCCACCCTTTTTTTAAACACCTCCAGGGGTGGCGAATCCACCACCTCCCTGGGCAGCCTATTCCAATGTTTGATAACCTTTTCAGTGAATTATTTTTTTTGCCTAATATCCAATCTAAACCTCCCCTGGCATAACTTGAGGCTGTTTCCTCTCATCCTATCACTTGTAACTGGGGAGAAGGTCAGCCCCCACTCTCTACAACCTCCTTTCAGGTAGCTGTAGAAAGCAATAAGGTCTC